TTCGAATATACAGTCATGCCGTGTACCTCGACGACATATTGATTTACAGCCCCGACAGAGCACAGCACTTACAGGACATCGAAGCCGTTTTTTAAATACTGAGTGAGAACCGCCTACTGACCAAAACCTCTAAGTGTGAGTTTTTACAGGACCGATTGGAGTTTTTAGGACACATCATTTCAGCTGATGGAGTGAAAATAGACCCGAAGAAAATTGTGACGGTTCAAGCATGGCACGCGCCGACCGACTTGACCGAGTTGCAGAGTTTTCTGGGGTTTGTCAACTACGTGCGCCGGTTCGTCCCCGACATGGCGAAGTTGACTGCCCCATTGACCGACCTGCTAAGGAAGGGGGTTGAGTACACGTGGGGGGAGAAAGAGCAAGCTGCCTTCTCGGCCCTCAAAAATATTTTGTGGTCGCCGCCCGTGCTTCACATCGCAGATCCGCACCGTCCGTTCGAGCTGGTCACCGATGCTAGTGACATCGCTGTGGGAGCAGTACTACTGCAGGACTTCGGGAACAGCCTCCAGCCAATCGAGTACGAGTCCCGCAAGCTTCACCCGCCCGAACGCAACTATCCGATACACGACCGCAAGATGCTGGCGATCGTGCACGCGTTCAAGGTGTGGCGATATTGCCTCACAGGAGCAGACGTGACGGTACGGACAGACCACCGATCACTACAGTACCTTCGCGCCCAACCGAATCTCAACCCGCGACAACTCCGCTGGTTGGACTATCTAGAGTCCAACTTCCACTACACGGTCACGTACAAAAAAGGTGCATTCAACATCGCCGACGCACTCACACGCCCCACCGCCCAACTCTACGCCATCCTACTTGCCCAAACCAACCCATTGCTAACAGGCCTATTCACCCACAGATACAGTACCGACCCATTTTTCACGACTGGAAATTCACAGCAACTTGCAGAAGCAAAAGGAGTCTATTACGTAAAAACAGGCACAAACTGCATCTGGGTACCCGCGTACTTACTACTGAGGGATCTGTTACTGCAGGAGGCACACGACGTGATTACCTCAGGACATTTCAGGGTAGAAAAAACGCAACAGCAACTGCAGCGGTATTATGACTGGCCGGAGCTGTTGACCGACGTACAGCACCACGTGGGTTCGTGTCCTACGTGTCAGGTGATGAAGAGCTCGCGAAAAAAAAAAAAAAACGGGTCAGTTGCAGCCGATTCCACCTCCTGAGCGCGCATGGCAGCAGGTTACCATGGATTTCGTCACGGGGTTACCTTCAAACCCTGGGGGTAGCGACGCGGTTATGGTCGTCGTTGACGTTCTATAGCGAGTACAACCCTTCTAGGGTTTGCTATTTGTATCCCCATTCTTGCTAGTGCAATCCTCTTCTCTCTTCTAACTTTCACATGCTATCAGAGCAGGTCGATCCCCTTGGATCGATCCTGTGGGTGGGCTCACCACCTCGTTGCTTCCGCTGCAACTACTACTGCTACTCTCTGTGCCGCACGCCCCATGGCGTGCGGCAGTTTTTTCTTCCCACCGTGCGCCCCGAGGCGCGCGGCGGTTCTCTGCCCGCCGTGCGCCCTGAGGCGCGCGGCGGTTTTCTGCCCGCCGTGCGCCCCGAGGCGCGCGGCGGTTTTCTGCCCGCCGTGCGCCCCGAGGCGCGCGACGGGCTTCTGCCCCGTCGTTCGCCGCGTCGCCCTCTGGAGGCGCCGCGACGGGCGACGGGGACCCGTCACGGCGCACCGAGGGCACGCGCCTCGGCCCCGTCGCCCTACCTGCGCCCCGGCCCCGGCCCCGCCTGCGGCCCCGGCCCCGACGCCCTACCTGCGCCCCGGCCCCATCGCCCTACCTGCGCCCCGGCCCCGGCCCCGCCTCCGCCCCCTTTTCCCGTCGCCTGTCGAGGCGACCCTCGGGGGCCCCTCGACAGGCGACGGGAGGACTTACCTGGGGGAGGGGGGCGAGCGCCGCCCCTTCTGCTGCCTGTCTTGGCGCCCTGGGAGGCCGCGCGTCGGTTCCCCCCCCCCCCCCCCCCCCCCCTCCCCCGTAACCTCCCTACCCGCCATCCCGCCCTGCCTGTGTTAGGGTTTGGGGAGTGGCGAGTAGGGGGTGGCGAGTATGGGGGTGGCACTTCTGCATTCCTCCCTTTGCTCCTCCTCCTCCTTTGTCTCCCACTGCTGCAGCTGTCGCTGAGGGGGATGGATGTGTGGGAGACTGGGGTTTAGGGTTTAAGGGGGGTGCGTGGGAGTGGAGCTAGCGGTGTAGCAGCGGGTGTGTGCCAGGGGGAGTGGGATAGTTTGGGGAAGCTGTATGGAGGTTGCCGTCGTGTCGCCAGCAGCACCTGTATTCCGGGGACTTCGTCCGGTAGCCCAGTCGTAGCCAGCTGTGCCAGCCGCCCGTGGGTCCGTTGCTCGTCTACCGCTACTTTAGCCGCGGGGCCTGTTACTCCTGTATTCCGGGGACTTCGTCCGGTAGCCGCTGTGCCAGTCTGCCTCCTGTTGCCCGTGTGTTTGCAGCTTCAGCCGTCGCCTCCTATCTCCTCTCCTCTCACTCTCTCTCCTCCTCCTCGCTTGCCCGTTGTGACTACCACTAGCTTTGCTCATAATTGTACCCTTTAAACTATTGCTTCTTGAACTTGTGCTCAGAATGTGTGGTGACATTGTGATCCACCCTGAGCTTGTACTGCTTTGCTTCCTCTGCTGATTACACCCCACTTTGGCTATGGGGGTGTGTCAGAATGTTATCTTATGCTCTAGCCTGTAGTGTGGTGCTCTATAGCGAGTACAACCCTTCTAGGGTTTGCTATTTGTATCCCCATTCTTGCTAGTGCAATCCTCTTCTCTCTTCTAACTTTCACAGACCCGACCACTTGGGAGCAGCAGCTGCCACTGATTGAGTTCGCATACAACAATGCCACGTCAGCGACGACGCAGCAGTCCCCGTTCTACCTGAACTACAGGCAAAACCCTACAGTGCCCATGACGCCGAGTCCGGACAACCCAACGCCACGTGCACAACAATTCGCCGAGATTCTGCAAGCTGCCCGCACCAGAGCCGCTGAAGCAAATAAAAAGGCAAATGTCATCGCTAAGCGCAACGCTGACCGCCACCGCCGCCCAGTCACGTACCAGTTAGGCGATTACGTACTGCTCAACACACAGAACTTAAGACTGCCCGTCGTACCGAAATTACGACCCCGCTACTGTGGACCATTCCAAATCAGCCACATGATTACCCCAGTGACAGCCCACCTACTGTTGCCGACGGACTGGTACATCAGCCCTTCGTTCCACGTCAGCCTACTTTGCCCGTACATCCCAACCACAAGCCAACTGCCTCGTCACCGCCCGCCATCCATGACTCGCCCTGCATCGGAGCCGATCATCGAGCCCGAAAAAATCCTGAGCCATCGGATTCGACACCCCACGAGAATCAGGAGGATTGAATTCCTCGTTCGCTGAAAGGACCGCACGCCAACTGAGGATAGCTGGGTGCCCCTGGCCAACATCGAAAACCATCCTACCCTGCAAGTGTAGCTGAGGAGCCGGGGTTTCCGCGATATACACGCACTCGCATAGCGGAGGGGGCTTCTTGAGGGGGGGGGGATAGTGTAAGGAATTTTCTCGACATTCCTTAGCGCGCCCTGCAACATCGCCTACAGCAGCAGCCGTTGTTCGCTCGTTACTGCTAACGGGGCTTCGCCGATTTCGCGCGCACTGTTTCACCAAACCTCGCACTGCTGGCCCGGTCGTGTCGGCCTACGCTTCGGGACTAGCCCGAACCTCGATGCCAGCGTAGCACTAGCTAGCTCGCACGCACCGCGTTACCGTTTGCATGTTTCGCGTATAAATGTTTGCTCATGTCTTCGCTCACATTTTGTACTCGCTTGACACCTAGTGCAATCCTTGCTACCTCGATTCATTGCACCCGTAACAGGTACTCAACTCATACCGTCATCGCCCGAATATAAGACATATATGTCTTATCTCATATACTAAAAAAAATGCGTGGGTTATCTTGTATTTTGGGAGGTTTTGGGTGTGTTATAAGTCTTATAAACGGAAACTTTTTAAAACTACTTAAAATTATTTTCACACATCTTGAAAAGAGTTTCTCATTATGAGTGTGGGTGGGTGTTGCGAAGGTGCCACTTCGGCAACCATTGTTTAGGGAGCCACGTCATCGAGAATACTTGCAGAGACAAATTTGGTACTACGTGAGTCAGCACGTGGCAGAATTCGCGTGTCGCAAGGGTAAAAATCTACGCGGTACTTCAATTTTCACTATAATATATTGCAGTTTCGATTCTAAGACACATAAGTCATCTCGTACACACAAATAGGTGCCTTATAATAAGGCTAGCCTGTTTATAAGAGACGCCTGTATAATAGACAACCCCTGTCTACTATTCAACACTGTCTTATATCCGGGTGATGACGGTACCGTCTCCCCCCGGATATACCCCCATGGGGGGCAATAATAAAGCAGGTTTTTACAGGGGGGTGGGCTTATAATCGAGTAAATTTATAAGCGCCAGCGTTTATAAAATGACATATATATTTTTTATATCTTTAAACACCGAACTATAGGTCTCATGCTTGCCTTTTCAATCGAGTCGAAGTTACATGGGGTCGTCTGTGAAATTCTCGCGCGTGCTGGGAGATACACCCAATCTTGAGAAACTTTGAACGAGAATGGATTGACTAAGGAATGAAATTGATACAAATATGAAACCCTAGAATTGTGTACCCCTTAGTATCTAACCCGCTACAGCCTACACAGGCTAGATCATATAAGTTTGACACACCCCCATAGGCAAAGTGGGGGAGAACAAGGGGTCACAAGACCAGTCAAGCAAAGCAAGGCAAAGCAAGCTCAGGGTGGATCACAACGTCACCACACATTCTGAGCACAAGTTCAAGGCCACAAGGCCAGTTCACATGCATGAGTACACACATATACATAACGCTAAACAAGCAAGAGCAGGTATATATATATGTAACAGTACAAGCAAGGTCAAGAAGTGAGCAAGTGAGGCAAGGTAGGTACAAGACCTAACAGAGTACAGAAGCGCTGATGATCACAAGGCGCAAGTGCCTTGGTGAAGATATCAGCAGTGTTGGCCTCATAGGCCACGTAAGCAAGGCGCAGCTGACCTCGCTGCTGCAGCTCACGAGCAAGGAAGTAGCGAAGAGCAATCTGCTTCGTTCTGTGCTCCAGTCTGTGCTCCCGACACAAGGCCAGCATGGCCTTGTTGTCTACGTAGAGAACTGGAGGAGAACGAGGCGGCTCTCCTAGGTCAGTCAGCAGGTAGGTGAGCCAGCGTAGCTCCTGTGCAGCCATGGCCCCTGCGTAGATCTCAGCCTCACAACTGGAGCCGAGAACAGAAGACGAGCGCGTAGACCGCCACGAAACAGAGCCGGAACCAAGGCTGAAGGTGTAACCCTGTGACGACCGCTGCGTAGCCTGGTCGTCAGCCCAAGAAGCGTCTGCGTGACCAGTGAGGACCACTGGACTCCGCCCTCCAAGCACTAGCCCCATGCCCGACGTACTGCACAAGTAGCGCAACACCCTCTTCGCTGCAGCCATGTGCTCTGGTCGGTGTCTCCCAGGAGCAACATAGCGTGCGAGAATGCTAAGAGGGTATGCAAGGTCAGGTCGTGTGCAGGTCATCAGGTACATGAGGCAGCCAACAAGCTCTGGGTACGGGCCACTCGACTCTACGGACTCATCCGAAGGCAGAGCTGAGAGCGAGTGGCGAGTAGACAGAGGAGTGGCCTGAGGCGAGGAGTACGTGAAGCCGAAGCGCTGAAGGACCTGCTGCACCATGTGTGACTGAGTCAGGGTAATGGTGCGCTGTGCTCTGTCCCGGGTGATCTGCAAGCCAAGGTAGCTGCGCAGTTCACCCAGGTCTGTGCACGTGTGTCTCTTCTGCAGCTCGGACTTCACGTGGGCGAGTCCAGCAGTGTCAGCTGTGGCAAAGACCAAGTCGTCGACGTACATGAGGATGTAGAACGGTGGCAAAGAAGTGTTGGTGCGCAGAAACAACAACGGGTCGGCAGTAGAGGGAGCAAACCCAAGAGCCGCAAGTGTAGTCCTCAGTGTGTCGTGCCACTTACGAGGTGCCTGGCGGAGACCGTAGACTGGCCGCCGGAGGCTCCACTGGGTACCAGGAGGAAAAGACCCAGTGAAGCCAGGTGGGTGGCGCAGCCAGATCTCCTCGTGCAGGCTGCCCTGCAAGAAAGCACTGCTGAAGTCTAGAGAGTGAAGCTCGTAGTCACGGTGAGCGGCTATGTGCAGCAGTACCCGAAGAGTGGTCATCTTCGGGGTGGGAGAGAAGGTATGAAAGTAGTCAACTCCCTGCCGCTGACTGAAGCCACGAGCCACGTAGCGCGCCTTGAAGACAGGCGGAGAACCCGGCGGCCGCTTCACCCTGAAAATCCACATGCCACTGACGATGTTCGCCCCAGGAGGGGGAACCTTGTCGACGTAGGTGCCTGTGGACTTCCAGGAAGCCATCTCTGCATCCATGGCCGCCTGCCACTGAGAGGAGTAGGGACCCTCTATTGCCTCCGTGTAAGAGCGTGGAGTCGGGATGTCTGGTGCATATGGGTCTTTCTTAGGGGCAAGCAGCATGGACACGAGATGAGGTGAAGCAGCAGCAAAGCACTGGAACTCCTCCTGCCTGTCCTCAAGGACGTCCGTGCCAAGGGCAGACTCACCCCCGACGGACAGAGGACAGACAGACTCAGACTCAGCGACAAGACTAGCAGCGTAGTCTAGGCGACAGCGAGCAGCGAAGTCGACAAGCTCAGAAACTAAGGCAGACACAGCAGCGGACTCAAAGGAAGGGTCAGTGACGACAGTGGCAAGGAGACGCGTGACAGTAGGACTGGCAGCACGAAGGGAGTCCGACTCCGGGTCAGCAAGAACAGGAAGAGAGGACTCAGGAGGAGAAGGCAAAGGGGCACGTAGCGGAGCAGTGGAAGGACGCAGAGACATCCGGTGCGTGCCGGGGACAGGGGGAGGACGCTGACGCGAACCACGACTACTAGTGCAAGCAGCACGGACATGCGACGCAGGACGAGACTCAGGCTCACGACGCTCAGCAAGACCTCCAGTAGGACTTGTGTAGGGAGAAGGAGCAGGCAGAGGAGAGGTAGGCTGTAACTGTGACTCGGACTGGACAGGCGGTGGACACTCTAAGGGAGGAGCCGGACTAGCAGAGGGCGGAAGACCAAGAATCTGCTCAAGGAGCGGAACGAAGTACGGCCGCGGCCGCTCTGCACCACCAGCACTAGAAGGGACAGCACCTGCACCCCGAATGACTGCACCAGCGCCAGCAGCACCCCCAGCTCCAGCAACGCCAACTCCAATACCCTCAGAGGCACCTTCACCAGAGGCACCCTCAGCGCCAACACCCCCAGCAGCTCCAGCTCCAGCCGGACCACCAGAAGACGCAGCGGGTCCAGCTCCAGCACCCTCAGTAGCACCGACGCCCGCAGCACCACCAGCTACGAGAAGCACCCGCAGGCCCAGCAGCTCCAGTACTCCCAGTACGAGCACCTCCGGGACCCGCGGCACTAGCACCCTCAGTAGCAGCAGAACCTCCAGCACCCGCAGCACCTCCAGCTCCAGCAGCTCGCCTCTAGCTCCCGCAGCTCCTGTGGAGAGAGTAGCTCCCGCCGGGACGACGCACCAGAAGAACCTCCAGGCCCAGCACCGCCAGACGCCACACGAGTAGGTCTAGTACCCTCAGACTCCGCACCCCCAGACGCACCACCCCCAGAGTCAGCACCCCCAGGCTCAGCATCCCCAGACGCAGTACCCCCAGGCGTAGCACCCCCAGGCTCAGCACCCCCAGGCGTAGCACCCCCAGAGTCAGCACCTCCAGGCTCAGCACCCCTAGCAGCACCCCTAACAGCTACCTCGACAGGGTCGACTGGGTCTACCTGAGACACACCTGAGGGGGCAGGACCTTGAGGGGGGAGGGGGTCTACCGGAGGGGGACCTGGTGTAAGGAAGAGCGGCGGGGGGGGGGAGGGACGCAGTGCGGTAGGGGAAGAGACGGTAGTAGGGAACCGACTCGTCAAACGTGACGTCCTGGGAGGACAGAACACGGCGCGAGGTGGGGTGGTAGAACTGCCAGCCCGGCGCGTCAAGGGGGAAGCCAAGGAAGACGCTGGGAACAGCACAAGGGGACAGCTTGTCCGCAGACAAGTCGCGGACAAACGCCCGAGATCCCTAGACACGGAACGGAGACGCATCGCCAACCTTCCCCGTCCACAGCAAAGCAGGGGAGGTCTCCTGCATGGAGACCCGGGGCTGAAGGTTGATCTGATGCGCCGCGTACCGAACCGCAAATGGCCACAGAAAATAGGGGGGCAGCCGCATGGACCATGGACGTACGAGCGACGTCCATGACCATGCCAATGCGGCGCTCAGCGATCCCATTTTGCTACGGAGAGTCCGGAAGCGTGAAGGTCTGGCGAATGCCTCGTGCACGACAGAAGGCTCGTAGAAGGCCAGAGGAGAACTCTCCGCCTCTGTCAGAGTGCAGACGCAGAACAGGAAAGTCCGAGCCAAAACTCTCTCGGAGCTGGAGACGAGCCGCGCGGATCCAGGCGATCAACACCTCAGTGACCTCACCCTTGTTGCGCAAGGGGAAGACTGAGGTGTAACGCGAGTAGTCGTCAACCACCAGCAGAAAGTAACGCTCGTGACCTTGTCCACGGACGCGGGCTGGGCCCCACACGTCCATGTGAAGCGTCTGCAGCGGAGCCTCTGTCGGAGGAAACTCGGAGGAGTGAGGAGCAGCGCGCTGCCGCCCCTCGACGCAGGGAACGCAGGTGGGGGCAGGCCCCGGAGGAAGGGAAGGGAGGGACCGGGGGAGACCAGAGACAAGGACACGGGAGGCCATGCCTCGAAGACGACGCAGGGAGGGGTGACCAAAGCGGTGGTGCTAGAGGAGAGTCAGGTGACACAGGAGACGACACGAGCACGGGGCACACTCAGGACCAGACCTGGACGCCGCAGCAAACACCTGACCCGATGCGGCTACCAAAGCAGACTCAACGACCGGAGGAGACTCAGTAGTCAGTGTGTACAAGCTCGACCCCGGCGGACGGGTAAACATGGCCAAGTGACGGCCCATCCGAGCACAGGTACAGTGGGTCACTCGCTGACTCGCAGGAGTGAACTGGTGAACCCCTCCATCCTGGAGGTCAGCACCACTCACCAAGTTCGTAGAGAACGAGGGGAGGTAAAGACCCGACAGGGTGCCAGAAGGGGCCGCCGAACACGGTAGAACAGTGGAGAAGTGGGCAAGGACAGGACCCCGAGAGGGGTCTGCCAAGGAGACTGCCACTGGCCGACTAAGCGGCGTAAGCGTGGTGCGGTCTCGAAAAAAGGAGCGGGAAGCACCCGAGTCAAGGGTGAAGGTGTGGGTGGCCGGAGCCGACGCGGTACCTGAGAGCGCAGACTCAACAGTCCACGTCCACGTCCACGTCCACGTCCACGACCACGTCCAAGTCCAAGTCCACGTCCAGGTCCACGTCCACGTCCACGTCCACGTCCAAGTCCACGTCCACGTCCACGTCCACGTCCACGACCACGTCCACGTCCACGTCCACGTCCTCCACCTCCACCACCACGTCCTCCACGTCCATGTCAACGTCCACGTCCACGTCCAGGTCCAGGTCCACGTCCACGACCACGTCCACGTCCACGTCCACGTCCACATCCACGACCACGTCCACGTCCACGTCAACGACCACGTCCACGTCCACGTCGACGTCCACGACCACGTCCACGTCCACGTCCACGTCCAGGTCCACGTCCACATCCACGTCCACGTCCACGACCACGTCCACGTCCACGTCCACGACCACGTCCACGTCCGCGTCCACGTCCACGACCACGTTTACGTCCACGTCCACGTCCATGTCCTCCACGTCCACGTCCACGTCCACGTCCACGTCCTCCACGTCCACGTCCACGTCTTCCACGTCCACGTCCACGTCTACGTCCAAGTCCACGTCCACGTCCACGTCCACGACCACGTCCACGTCCACGTCCACGTCCAGGACCACGTCCACGTCCACAACCACGTCCACGTCCACGTCCACGTCCACGTCCACGTCCACGACCACGTCCACGTCCACGTCCACGTCCACGTCCACGACCACGTCCACGTCCACGTCCACGTCCACGTCCACGTCCACGACCACGTCCACGTCCACGTCCACGTCCACGTCCACGTCCAAGTCCACGTCCACGTCCAGGTCCACGTCCACGTCCACGTCCACGTCCACGTCCACGACCACGTCCACGTCCACGTCCACGTCCACGTCCACGTCCAAGTCCACGTTAAAGTCCACGTCCACGTCCACGACCACGTCCACGACCACGTCCACGTCCACGTCCACGTCCACGTCCACGTCCACGTCCACGTCCACGACCACGTCCACGTCCACGTCCACGTCCACGACCACGTCCACCTCCACGTCCACGTCCACGTCCACCTCCACGTCCACGTCCACGTCCACGTCCACGTCCACGACCACGACCACGTCCACGTCCACGTCCACGTCCACGACCACGTCCACGTCCACGTCCACGACCACCTCCACGTCCACGTCCACGACCACCTCCACGTCCACGACCACGACCACGTCCACGTCCACGTCCACGTCCACGTCCACGTCCATGTCTAGGTCCACGTCCACGTCCACGTCCACGTCCACGTCCACGTCCACGTCCACCACCACGTCCACGTCCACGTCCACGTCCATGACCACGTCCACGTCCACGTCCACGTCCACGTCCACGTCCACGTCCACGTCCACGACCACGTCCACGTCCACGTCCACGTCCACGTCCACGACCACGTCCACGACCACGTCCACGTCCACGACCACGTCCACGTCCACGTCCAAGTCGACGTCCACGTCCAGGTCCACGTCCACGTCCACGTCCACGTCCAAGTCCACGTCCACGTCCACGACCACGTCCACGTCCATGTCCACGACCACGTCCACGTCCACGTCCAAGTCCACGTCCAAGTCCACGTCCACGTCAACGTCCACGTCCACGTCCACGTCCACGACCACGTCCACGTCCACGTCCACGTCCACGACCTCGTCCACGTCCACGTCCACGTTCACGTCCACGTCCACGACCACGTCCACGTCCACGTCCACGTCCATGTCCACGTCTACGTCCACGACCACGTCCACGACCACGTCCACGTCCACGTCCACGTCCACGTCCACGACCATGTCCACGTCCACGTCCACGACCACGTCCACGTCCACGACCACGTCCAGGTCCACGTCCACGTCCACGTCCACGTCCACGACCACGTCCACGTCCACGACCACGTCCACGTCCACGTCCAGGTCCACGTCCACGTCCACGACCACGTCCACGTCCACGTCCACGTCCACGTCCACGTCCAGGTCCACCCACGTACACGTCCACGTCCACGTTCACGTCCACGTACACGTCCACGTCCACCTCCACGTCAACGTCCAAGTCCACGTCCACGTCCACGTCCACGTCCAAGTCCACGTCCACGTCCTCGTCCTCCACGTCCATGTCCACGTCCTCGTCCTTCACGTCCACGTCCAAGTCCATGTCCACGTCCACGTCCAAGTCCACGTCAACGTCCTCGTCCTCCACGTGCACGTCCACGTCCTCGTCCTCCACGTCCACTTCCACGTCCACGTCCACGTCCACGTCCACATCCTCCACGTCCACGTCCACGTCCACGTCCACGTCCACGTCTAGGTCCACGTCCACGTTCACGTCCACGTCCACGTCCACGTCCACGTCCACCACCACGTCCACGTCCACGTCCACGTCCATGACCACGTCCACGTCCACGTCCACGTCCACGTCCACGTCCACGTCCACGTCCACGACCATGTCCACGTCCACGTCCACGTCCACGTCCACGTCCACGTCCACGTCCACGTCCACGTCCACGTCCATGTCCATGTCCACGTCCACGTCCACGTCCACGTCCAGGTCCACGTCCATGTCCACGTCTACGTCTATGACCACGTCCACGTACACGTCGACGTCCACGTCCACGTCCACGTACACGTCCACGTCCACATCCACGACCACATCCACGTCCACGTCCACGTCCACGTCCAAGTCCACGTCCACGTCCACGTCCAAGTCCATGTCCACGTCCTCGTCCTCCACGTCCACGTCCACGTCCTCGTCCTCCACGTCCACGTCCACATCCACGTCAACGTCCACGTCCTCCACGTCCACGTCCACGCCCACGTCCACGTCCACGTCCACATCCCACGTCCACGTCCACGTCCACGACCACGTCCACTTCCACGTCCACGTCCACGTCCACGACCACGTCCACGACCACGTCCACTTCCAAGTCCACGACCACATCCACGTCCACGTCCAAGTCCACGTCCACGTCCACGTCCACGTCCACGTCCTCGACCACGTCCACTTCCACGTCCACGACCACGTCCACGACCACGTCCACGACCACGTCCACGTCCACGTCCACGTCCACGTCCACGTCCACGTCGACGTCCACGTCGACGTCCACGTCCACATCCACGACCACGTCCACGTCCACGTCCACGTCCACGTCCACGTCCACGTCCACGTCCACGTCCAAGTCCACGTCCACGACCACGTCCACGACCACGTCCACGTCCAGGTCCACGTCCAAGTTCACGTCCACGTCCACGTCCACGACCACGTCCACGTCCACGACCACGTCCTCGTCCACGTCCACGTCCACGTCCACGACCACGTCCACGTCCACGTCCACGTCCAGGTCCACGTCCAGGTCCACGTCCACGTCCACGTCCACGACCACGTCCACGTCCACGTCCACGACCACGTCCAGGTCCACGACCACGTCCACGTCCACGTCTACGTCCACGTCCACGTCCTCCACGTCCACGTGCACGTCCTCCACGTCCACCTCCACGTCCACGTCTACGTCCAAGTCCACGTCTACGTCCACGTCCACGACCACGTCCACATCCACGTCCACGACCACGTCCACGTCCACGACCACGTCCACGTCCACGTCCACGTCCACGACCACGTCCACGTCCACGTCCACGTCCACGTCCACGACCACGTCCACGTCCACGTCCACGTCCACGTCCACGTCCACGTCCAAGTCCACGTCCACGTCCAGGTCCACGTCCACGTCCACGTCCACGTCCACGTCCAAGTCCACGTTGACGTCCACGTCCACGTCCACGACCACGTCCACGTCCACGTCCACGTCCACGACCACGTCCACGTCCACGTCCAAGTCCACGTCCAAGTCCACGTCCACGTCCACGTCCACGTCCACGACCACGTCGAGGTCCACGTCCATGTCCACGTCCACGACCACGTCCACGACCACGTCCACGTCCACGTCCACGTCCACGACCACGACCACGTCCACGTCCACGTCCACGTCCATGTCCACGTCCACCACCACGTCCACGTCCACGTCCACGTCCACGTCCACGTCCACGACCACGACCACGTCCACGTCCACGTCCACGTCCATGTCCACGTCCACCACCACGTCCACGTCCATGTCCACGTCCACCGACCACGTTCACGTCCACGTCCACGACCACGTCCACGTCCACGTCCACGTCCACGTCCACGTCCACGTCCACCACCACGTCCACCACCACGTCCACTTCCACGTCCACGTCCACGTCCACAACCACGTCTACGTCCACGTCCACGTCCACGACCACGTCCACGTCCACGTCCACGTCAACGACCACGTCCACGTCCACGTCCACGACCACGTCCCTGACCACGTCCACGTCCACGTCCACGTCCATGACCACGTCCACGTCAACGTCCACGACCACGTCCACGTCCACGACCACGTCCACGTCCACGTCCACGTCCACGTCAACGTCCAGGTCCACGTCCATGTCCACGTCCATGTATGACCACGTCCACGTGCACGTCCACGTCCACGTCCACATCCACGTCCACGACCACGTCCACGTCCACGTCCACGTCCACGACCACGTCCACGTCCACGACCACGTCCACGTCCACGTCCACGTCCACGTCCTCCACTTCCACGTCCACGTCAACGACCACGACCACTTCCACGTCCACGACCACGTCCACGTCCACGACCACGTCCTCCACTTCCACGACCACGTCCACGACCACGACCACGTCCACGTCCACGTCCACGTCCACGACAACGTCCACGTCCACGTCCACGTCCACGACCACGTCCACGTCCACGACCACGTCCACGTCCACGTCCACGACCACGTCCACGTCCACGTCCACGTCCACGACCACGTCCACGACCACGTCCACGACCACGTCCACGTCCACGTCCACGTCCACGACCACGTCCACGTCCACGACCACGTCCTCCACGTCCACGTCCACGTCCACGACCACGTCCACGTCCACGACCACGTCCACGTCCACGTCCACGTCCACGTCCACGTCCTCCACTTCCACGACCACGTCCACGACCACGACCACGTCCACGTCCACGTCCACGTCCACGACAACGTCCACGTCCACGTCCACGACCACGTCCACGTCCACGACCACGTCCACGTCCACGTCCACGACCACGTCCACGTCCACGTCCACGTCCACGACCACGTCCACGTCCACGTCCACGTCCACGTCCACGTCCACGACCACGTCCACGTCCACGTCCACGTCCACGTCCACGTCCTCCACTTCCACGACCACGTCCACGACCACGACCACGTCCACGTCCACGTCCACGTCCACGTCCACGACCACGTCCACGTCCATGTCCACGACCACGTCCACGTCCACGTCCAAGTCCACGTCCAAGTCCACGTCCACGTCAACGTCCACGTCCACGTCCACGTCCACGACCACGTCCACGTCCACGTCCACGTCCACGACCTCGTCCACGTCCACGTCCACGTTCACGTCCACGTCCACGACCACGTCCACGTCCACGTCCACGTCCATGTCCACGTCTACGTCCACGACCACGTCCACGACCACGTCCACGTCCACGTCCACGTCCACGTCCACGACCATGTCCACGTCCACGTCCACGACCACGTCCACGTCCACGACCACGTCCAGGTCCACGTCCACGTCCACGTCCACGTCCACGACCACGTCCACGTCCACGACCACGTCCACGTCCACGTCCAGGTCCACGTCCACGTCCACGACCACGTCCACGTCCACGTCCACGTCCACGTCCACGTCCAGGTCCACCCACGTACACGTCCACGTCCACGTTCACGTCCACGTACACGTCCACGTCCACCTCCACGTCAACGTCCAAGTCCACGTCCACGTCCACGTCCACGTCCAAGTCCACGTCCACGTCCTCGTCCTCCACGTCCATGTCCACGTCCTCGTCCTTCACGTCCACGTCCAAGTCCATGTCCACGTCCACGTCCAAGTCCACGTCAACGTCCTCGTCCTCCACGTGCACGTCCACGTCCTCGTCCTCCACGTCCACTTCCACGTCCACGTCCACGTCCACGTCCACATCCTCCACGTCCACGTCCACGTCCACGTCCACGTCCACGTCTAGGTCCACGTCCACGTTCACGTCCACGTCCACGTCCACGTCCACGTCCACCACCACGTCCACGTCCACGTCCACGTCCATGACCACGTCCACGTCCACGTCCACGTCCACGTCCACGTCCACGTCCACGTCCACGACCATGTCCACGTCCACGTCCACGTCCACGTCCACGTCCACGTCCACGTCCACGTCCACGTCCACGTCCATGTCCATGTCCACGTCCACGTCCACGTCCACGTCCAGGTCCACGTCCATGTCCACGTCTACGTCTATGACCACGTCCACGTACACGTCGACGTCCACGTCCACGTCCACGTACACGTCCACGTCCACATCCACGACCACATCCACGTCCACGTCCACGTCCACGTCCAAGTCCACGTCCACGTCCACGTCCAAGTCCATGTCCACGTCCTCGTCCTCCACGTCCACGTCCACGTCCTCGTCCTCCACGTCCACGTCCACATCCACGTCAACGTCCACGTCCTCCACGTCCACGTCCACGCCCACGTCCACGTCCACGTCCACATCCCACGTCCACGTCCACGTCCACGACCACGTCCACTTCCACGTCCACGTCCACGTCCACGACCACGTCCACGACCACGTCCACTTCCAAGTCCACGACCACATCCACGTCCACGTCCAAGTCCACGTCCACGTCCACGTCCACGTCCACGTCCTCGACCACGTCCACTTCCACGTCCACGACCACGTCCACGACCACGTCCACGACCACGTCCACGTCCACGTCCACGTCCACGTCCACGTCCACGTCGACGTCCACGTCGACGTCCACGTCCACATCCACGACCACGTCCACGTCCACGTCCACGTCCACGTCCACGTCCACGTCCACGTCCACGTCCAAGTCCACGTCCACGACCACGTCCACGACCACGTCCACGTCCAGGTCCACGTCCAAGTTCACGTCCACGTCCACGTCCACGACCACGTCCACGTCCACGACCACGTCCTCGTCCACGTCCACGTCCACGTCCACGACCACGTCCACGTCCACGTCCACGTCCAGGTCCACGTCCAGGTCCACGTCCACGTCCACGTCCACGACCACGTCCACGTCCACGTCCACGACCACGTCCAGGTCCACGACCACGTCCACGTCCACGTCTACGTCCACGTCCACGTCCTCCACGTCCACGTGCACGTCCTCCACGTCCACCTCCACGTCCACGTCTACGTCCAAGTCCACGTCTACGTCCACGTCCACGACCACGTCCACATCCACGTCCACGACCACGTCCACGTCCACGACCACGTCCACGTCCACGTCCACGACCACGTCCACGTCCACGTCCACGTCCACGTCCACGACCACGTCCACGTCCACGTCCACGTCCACGTCCACGTCCACGTCCAAGTCCACGTCCACGTCCAGGTCCACGTCCACGTCCACGTCCACGTCCACGTCCAAGTCCACGTTGACGTCCACGTCCACGTCCACGACCACGTCCACGTCCACGTCCACGTCCACGACCACGTCCACGTCCACGTCCAAGTCCACGTCCAAGTCCACGTCCACGTCCACGTCCACGTCCACGACCACGTCGAGGTCCACGTCCATGTCCACGTCCACGACCACGTCCACGACCACGTCCACGTCCACGTCCACGTCCACGACCACGACCACGTCCACGTCCACGTCCACGTCCATGTCCACGTCCACCACCACGTCCACGTCCACGTCCACGTCCACGTCCACGTCCACGACCACGACCACGTCCACGTCCACGTCCACGTCCATGTCCACGTCCACCACCACGTCCACGTCCATGTCCACGTCCACCGACCACGTTCACGTCCACGTCCACGACCACGTCCACGTCCACGTCCACGTCCACGTCCACGTCCACGTCCACCACCACGTCCACCACCACGTCCACTTCCACGTCCACGTCCACGTCCACAACCACGTCTACGTCCACGTCCACGTCCACGACCACGTCCACGTCCACGTCCACGTCAACGACCACGTCCACGTCCACGTCCACGACCACGTCCCTGACCACGTCCACGTCCACGTCCACGTCCATGACCACGTCCACGTCAACGTCCACGACCACGTCCACGTCCACGACCACGTCCACGTCCACGTCCACGTCCACGTCAACGTCCAGGTCCACGTCCATGTCCACGTCCATGTATGACCACGTCCACGTGCACGTCCACGTCCACGTCCACATCCACGTCCACGACCACGTCCACGTCCACGTCCACGTCCACGACCACGTCCACGTCCACGACCACGTCCACGTCCACGTCCACGTCCACGTCCTCCACTTCCACGTCCACGTCAACGACCACGACCACTTCCACGTCCACGACCACGTCCACGTCCACGACCACGTCCTCCACTTCCACGACCACGTCCACGACCACGACCACGTCCACGTCCACGTCCACGTCCACGACAACGTCCACGTCCACGTCCACGTCCACGACCACGTCCACGTCCACGACCACGTCCACGTCCACGTCCACGACCACGTCCACGTCCACGTCCACGTCCACGACCACGTCCACGACCACGTCCACGACCACGTCCACGTCCACGTCCACGTCCACGACCACGTCCACGTCCACGACCACGTCCTCCACGTCCACGTCCACGTCCACGACCACGTCCACGTCCACGACCACGTCCACGTCCACGTCCACGTCCACGTCCACGTCCTCCACTTCCACGACCACGTCCACGACCACGACCACGTCCACGTCCACGTCCACGTCCACGACAACGTCCACGTCCACGTCCACGTCACGTCCACGACCACGTCCACGTCCACGTCCACGACCACGTCCACGTCCACGTCCACGTCCACGACCACGTCCACGTCCACGTCCACGTCCACGTCCACGTCCACGACCACGTCCACGTCCACGTCCACGTCCACGTCCACGTCCTCCACTTCCACGACCACGTCCACGACCACGACCACGTCCACGTCCACGTCCACGTCCACGACAACGTCCACGTCCACGTCCACGACCACGTCCACGTCCACGACCACGTCCACGTCCACGTCCACGACCACGTCCACGTCCACGTCCACGTCCACGACCACGTCCACGTCCACGTCCACGTCCACGTCCACGTCCACGTCCAAGTCCACGTCCACGTCCACGTCCAAGCCACGTCCACGTCCAAGTCCACGTCCACGTCCTAGTCCACGTCCACGTCCACGTCCACGTCCACGACCACGTCCACGTCCACGTCCACGTCCACGTCCACGTCCACGTCCACGTCCACGTCCACGACCACGTCCACGTCCACGACCACGTCCACGTCCACGTCCACGTCCACGTCCACGACCACGTCCACGTCCACGTCCACGTCCACGTCCACGTCCACGTCCACGACCACGTCCACGTCCACGTCCACGTCCACGTCCACGTCCACGTCCACGTCCACGTCCACGTCCACGTCCACGACCACGTCCACGTCCACGTCCACGTCCACGTCCACGTCCACGTCCACGTCCACGTCCACGACCACGTCCACGTCCACGTCCACGTTCACGTCCACGTCCACGTCCACGTCCACGTCCACGTCCACGTCCACGTCCACGTCCACGACCACGTCCACGTCCACGTCCACGTCCACGTCCACGTCCACGTTCACGTCCACGTCCACAACCACGTCCACGTCCACGTCCACGTCCACGTCTACGTCCACGACCACGTCCACGTCCACGTCCACGTCCACAACCACGTCCACGTTCACGTCCACGACCACCTCCACGTCCATGACCACGTCCAGGTCCACGTCCACGTCCACGACCACGTCCACGACCACGTCCACGTCCACGTCCACGTCCACGACCACGTCCACGTCCACGTCCACGTCCACGTCCACGTCCACGACCACGTCCACGACCACGTCCACGTCCACGTCCAAGTCCACGTCAAAGTCCACGTCCACGTCCACGTCCACGACCACGTCCAAGTCCATGTCCACGTCCACGTCCACGACCGCGTCCACGACCATGTCCACGACCACGTCCACGTCCACGTCCACGTCCATGTCCACGTCCACGTCCACGACCACGTCCACGACCACGACCACGTCCACGACCATGACCACGTCCACGTCCACGTCAACGTCCACGTCCACGTACACGTCCACGTCCACGTCCACGTTCACGTCCACGTCCACGTCCACGTCCACGACCACGTCCACGTCCACGTCCATGTCCACGTCCACGACCACGTCCACGTCCACGTCCTCGTCCACGTTCACGTCCACGTTCACGTCCACGTCCACGTCCACGACCACGTCCACGACCACGTCCACGTCCACGACCACGACCACGTCCACGTCCAAGTCCACGTCCACGTCCACGTCCACGTCCAGGTCCACGTCCAAGTCCACGACCACGTCCACGTCCACGTCCACGTCCACGTCCACGTCCAGGTCCACGTCCACGTCCACGTCCACGTCCACGACCACGTCCACGTCCACGACCACGTCCACGTCCACGTCCACGTCCACGTCCACGTAAACGACCACGTCCACGTCCACGTCCACGTCCACGTCCACGACCACGTCCACGTCCACGTCCACGTCCACGTCCACGTCCAGGTGCACGTCCACGTCCACGTCCACGACCAAGTCCACGTACACGTCCACGTCCACGCCCACGTCCATGACCACGTCCACATCCACGACCACGTCCACGTCCACGACCACGTCCACGTCCACGTCCACGTCCACGTCCTCCACGTCCACGTCCACGTCCTCCACGTCCACGTCCACGTCCAAGTCCACGTCCATGTCCACGTCCACGTCCACGTCCATGACAACGTCACGTCCACATCCACATCCACGACCACGTCCACGCCACGACCACGTCCACGTCCACGTCCACATCCACGACCACGTCCACGTCCACGTCTATGTCCACGACCACGTCCACGTCCACGTCCACGTCCACGTCCACGTCCAAGTCCACGTCCACGTCCAGGTCCAAGCCACGTCCACGTCCACGTCCACGTCCAAGTCCACGTCCACGTCCACGACCACGTCCACGTCCAAGTCCACGTCCACGTCCACGACCACGTCCACGTCCACGTCCACGTCCACGACCACGACCACGTCCACGTCCACGTCCTCGTCAACGTCCACGTCAACGTCCATGTCCACGTCCACGTCCATGTCCACGTTCACATCCACGTCCACGTCCACGTCCACGACCACGTCCACGTCCACGTTTACGTCCACGTCCACGTCCACGACCATGTCTACGACCACGTCCACGTCCACGACCACGTCCACGTCCACGTCCATGTCCACGTCCACGTCCATGTCCACGTCCACTTCCACGTCCACGTCCATGTCCACGTCCACGTCCACGTCCACGTCCAGGTCCACGTCCACGTCCATGTCCACCTCCATGTCCACGTCCACGTCCATGTCCACGTCCATGTCCATGTCCATGTCCACGTCCACGTCCACGTCCACGTCCATGTCCACGTCCACGTCCATGTCCACGTCCACGTCCACGTCTACGTCCATGTCCACGTCCATGTCCACGTCCACGTCCATGTCCACGTCCATGTCCACGTCCACGACCACGTCCACGTCCACCTCACGTCCACGTCCACGTCCATGTCCACGTCCACGTCCACATCCACGTCCACGTCCATGTCCACGTACACGTCCACGTCCATGTCCACGTCCACGTCCACGTCCACGTCCACGTCCATGTCCACGTCCACGTCCAATGTCCACGTCCACGTCCACGTCCACGTCCACGTCCACGTCCACGTCCACGTCCACGTCCATGTCCACGTCCACGTCCACGGTCCACGTCCACGTCCACGTCCACGTCCATATACACGTCCACGTCCATGTCCACGTCCACGTCCACGTCCACGTCCACGACCATGTCCACGTCCACGTCCACGTCCACGTCCACGTCCACGACCACGTCCACGTCCACGTCCATGTCCACGTCCAAGTCCTCCACGTCCACGACCACGTCCACGTCCACGTCAACGTCCACGTCCACGACCACGTCCACGTCCACGACCACGTCCACGTCCACGTCCACCTCCACGACCACGTCCACGTCCACGTCCACGACCACGTCCACGTCCACGTCCACGTCCACGTCCACGTCCACGTCCAAGTCCACGTCCACGTCCAGGTCCAAGCCACGTCCACGTCCACGTCCACGTCCAAGTCCACGTCCACGTCCACGTCCACGTCCACGACCACGTCCACGTCCAAGTCCACGTCCACGTCAACAACCACGTCCACGTCCACGTCCACGACCACGTCCACGTCCACGTCCACGTCCTCCACGTCCACGTCCACGTCCTCCACGTCCACGTCCACGTCTACGTCCAAGTCCACGTCCACGTCCACGTCCACGTCCACGACCATGTCCAGGTCCACGTCCACGACCACGTCCACGTCCACGACCACGTCCAGGTCCACGTCCACGTCCACGTCACGTCCAAGACCACGTACACGTACACGTCCACGTCCACGTCCACGACCACGTCCACGTCCACGTCCACCTCCACGACCACGTCCACGTCCACGTCCACGACCACGTCCACGACCACGTCCAGGTCCACGTCCACGTCCACGTCCACGACCACGTCCACGACCACGTCCACGTCCACGTCCACCTCCACGTCCACGTCCTTGTCCACCTCCACGTCCACGACCACGTCCACGTCCATGTCCACGTCCACGTCCACATCCACGACCACGACCACGTCCACGTCCACGTCCACGTCCATGTCCACGTCCACGTCCATGTCCACGTTCACGTCCACGTCCACGTCCACGACCACGTCCACGTCCACGTTTACGTCCACGTCCACGTCCACGACCACGTCCACGTCCACGTCCACGACCATGTCCACGACCACGTCCACGTCCACGTCCACGTCCACATCCACGTCCACGTCCATGTCCACGTACACGTCCACGTCCATGTCCACGTCCACGTCCACGTCCACGTCCATGTCCACGTCCACGTCCACGTCCACGTCCATGTCCACGTCCACGTCCACGTCCACGTCCACGTCCACGTCCACGTCCACGTCCATGTCCACGTCCACGTCCACGTCCACGTCCACGTCCACGTCCACGTCCATATACACGTCCACGTCCATGTCCACGTCCACGTCCACGTCCACGTCCACGACCATGTCCACGTCCACGTCCACGTCCACGTCCACGTCCACGTCCACGTCCACGACCACGTCCACGTCCACGTCCATGTCCACGTCCAAGTCCTCCACGTCCACGACCACGTCCACGTCCACGTCAACGTCCACGTCCACGACCACGTCCACGTCCACGACCACGTCCACGTCCACGTCCACCTCCACGACCACGTCCACGTCCACGTCCACGACCACGACCACGTCCACGTCCACGTCCACGTCCACGTCCACGTCCACGTCCAAGTCCACGTCCACGTCCAGGTCCAAGCCACGTCCACGTCCACGTCCACGTCCAAGTCTACGTCCACGTCCACGTCCACGTCCACGACCACGTCCACGTCCAAGTCCACGTCCACGTCCACGACCACGTCCACGTCCACGTCCACGACCACGTCCACGTCCACGTCCACGTCCTCCACGTCCACGTCCACGTCCTCCACGTCCACGTCCACGTCTACGTCCAAGTCCACGTCCACGTCCACGTCCACGTCCACGACCATGTCCAGGTCCACGTCCACGACCACGTCCACGTCCACGACCACGTCCAGGTCCACGTCCACGTCCACGTCACGTCCAAGACCACGTACACGTACACGTCCACGTCCACGTCCACGACCACGTCCACGTCCACGTCCACCTCCACGACCACGTCCACGTCCACGTCCACGACCACGTCCACGACCACCTCCACGACCACGTCCACGTCCACGTCCACGACCACGTCCACGACCACGTCCAGGTCCACGTCCACCTCCACGTCCACGTCCTTGTCCACCTCCACGTCCACGACCACGTCCACCTCCACGTCCACGTCCTTGTCCACATCCACGACCACGACCACGTCCACGTCCCCGTCCACGTCCATGTCCACGTCCACGTCCATGTCCACGTTCACGTCCACGTCCACGTCCACGACCACGTCCACGTCCACGTTTACGTCCACGTCCACGTCCACGACCACGTCCACGACCACGTCCACGTCCATGTCCACGTCCACGTCCATGTCCACGTCCACTTCAACGTCCACGTCCATGTCCACGTCCACGTCCACGTCTACGTCCACGTCCACGTCCATGTCCAACTCCATGTCCACGTCCACGTCCATGTCCACGTTCACGTCCACGTCCACGTCCACGTCCATGTCCACGTCCACGTTCACGTCCACGTCCATGTTCACGTCCACGTCCACGTCCATGTCCACGTCCACGTCCACGTCCACGTCCACGTCCACGTCCACGTCCATGTCCACGTCCACGTCCACGTCCACGTCCACGTCCACGTCCACGTCCACGTCCATATACACGTCCACGTCCATGTCCACGTCCACGTCCACGTCCACGTCCACGACCATGTCCACGTCAACGTCCACGTCCACGTCCACGTCCACGACCACGTCCACGTCCACGTCCATGTCCACGTCCAAGTCCTCCACGTCCACGACCACGTCCACGTCCACGTCAACGTCCACGTCCACGACCACGTCCACGTCCACGACCACGTCCACGTCCACGTCCACGTCCACGTCCACGTCCACGTCCATATACACGTCCACGTCCATGTCCACGTCCACGTCCACGTCCACGTCCACGACCATGTCCACGTCCACGTCCACGTCCACGTCCACGTCCACGACCACGTCCACGTCCATGTCCACGTCCAAGTCCTCCACGTCCACGACCACGTCCACGTCCACGTCAACGTCCACGTCCACGACCACGTCCACGTCCACGACCACGTCCACGTCCACGTCCACCTCCACGACCACGTCCACGTCCACGTCCACGACCACGTCCACGTCCACGTCCACGTCCACGTCCACGTCCACGTCCACGTCCAAGTCCACGTCCACGTCCAGGTCCAAGCCACGTCCACGTCCACGTCCACGTCCAAGTCTACGTCCACGTCCACGTCCACGTCCACGACCACGTCCACGTCCAAGTCCACGTCCACGTCCACGACCACGTCCACGTCCACGTCCACGACCACGTCCACGTCCACGTCCACGTCCTCCACGTCCACGTCCACGTCCTCCACGTCCACGTCCACGTCTACGTCCAAGTCCACGTCCACGTCCACGTCCACGTCCACGACCATGTCCAGGTCCACGTCCACGACCACGTCCACGTCCACGACCACGTCCAGGTCCACGTCCACGTCCACGTCACGTCCAAGACCACGTACACGTACACGTCCACGTCCACGTCCACGACCACGTCCACGTCCACGTCCACCTCCACGACCACGTCCACGTCCACGTCCACGACCACGTCCACGACCACGTCCAGGTCCACGTCCACGTCCACGTCCACGACCACGTCCACGACCACGTCCACGTCCACGTCCACCTCCACGTCCACGTCCTTGTCCACCTCCACGTCCACGACCACGTCCACGTCCATGTCCACGTCCACGTCCACATCCACGACCACGACCACGTCCACGTCCACGTCCACGTCCATGTCCACGTCCACGTCCATGTCCACGTTCACGTCCACGTCCACGTCCACGACCACGTCCACGTCCACGTTTACGTCCACGTCCACGTCCACGACCACGTCCACGACCACGTCCACGTCCATGTCCACGTCCACGTCCATGTCCACGTCCACTTCAACGTCCACGTCCATGTCCACGTCCACGTCCACGTCTACGTCCACGTCCACGTCCATGTCCAACTCCATGTCCACGTCCACGTCCATGTCCACGTTCACGTCCACGTCCACGTCCACGTCCATGTCCACGTCCACGTTCACGTCCACGTCCATGTTCACGTCCACGTCCACGTCCATGTCCACGTCCACGTCCACGTCCACGTCCACGTCCACCTCACGTCCACGTCCATGTCCATGTCCACGTCCACGTCCACGTCCACGTCCATGTCCACGTACACGTCCACGTCCATGTCCACGTCCACGTCCACGTCCACGACCATGTCCACGTCCACGTCCACGTCAACGTCCACGTCCATGTCCACGTCCACGTCCACGTCCACGTCGATGTCCACGTCCACGTCCACGTCCACGTCGACGTCCACGTCCACGTCCACGTTCACGTCCATGTCCACGTCCACGTCCACGTCCATGTCCACGTCCACGTCCACGTCCACGTCCATGTACACGTCCACGTCCATGTCCACGTCCACGTCCACGTCCACGTCCATGTCCATGTCCACGTCCACGTCCACGTCCACGTCCACGTCCACGTCCACGTCCACGTCCACGTCCACGTCCATGTCCACGTCCACGTCCACGTCCACGTCCACGTCCACGTCCACGTCCACGTCCACTTCCACGTCCATGTCCACGTCCATGTCCACGTCCATGTCCACGTCCACGTCCACGTCCACGTCCACGTCCATGTCCACGTCCACGTCCACGTCCACGTCCACGTCCACGTCCATGTCCACGTCCACGTCCACGTCCATGTCCACGTCCACGTCCACGTCCATGTCCACGTCCACGTCCACGTCCATGTCCACGTCCATGTCCACGTCCACACGTCCACGTCCAAGTCCACGTCCACGTCCACGACCACGTCCACGTCCACGTCCACGTCCACGACCACGTCCACGTCCACGTCCACGACCACGTCCACGTCCACGTCCTCCACGTCCACGTCCACGTCCACGTCCAAGTCCACGTCCACGTCCACGTCCACGTCCACGACCATGTCCACGTCCACGTCCACGACCACGTCCACGTCCTCGACCACGTCCAGGTCCACGTCCACATCCACATCATGTCCAAGACCACGTACACGTACACGTCCACGTCGACGTCCACGACCACGTCCACGTCCACGTCCACGTCCATGACCACGTCCACGTCCACGTCCACGACCACGTCCACGACCACGTCCACGTCCACGTCCAAGTCCAAGTCCAAGTCCACGTCCACGTCCACGACCACGTCCAGGTCCACGTCCACGTCCACGTCCACGACCACGTCCACGACCACGTCCACGACCACGTCCACCTCAACGTCCACGTCCACGTCCTTGTCCACGTCCACGTCCACGACCACGTCCACGTCCATGTCAACGTCCACGTCCACATCCACGACCACGACCACGTCCACGTCCACGTCAACGTCCATGTCCACGTCCATGTCCATGTCCACGTTCACGTCCACGTCCACGTCCACGTCCACGACCACGTCCACGTCCACGACCACGTCCACGTCCACGTCCACGACCACGTCCACGACCACGTCCACGTCCACGTCCATGTCCACGTCCACGTCCATGTCCACGTCCACTTCCACGTCCACGTCCATGTCCACGTCCACGTCCACGTCCACGTCTACGTCCACGTCCACGTCCATGTCCACCTCCATGTCCACGTCCACGTCCATGTCCACGTCCATGTCCATGTCCATGTCCACGTCCACGTCCACGTCCACGTCCATGTCCACGTCCACGTCCACGTCCACGTCCACGTCCACGTCCATGTCCACGTCCATGTCCACGTCCACGTCCACGTCCACGTCCACGTCCACCTCACGTCCACGTCCACGTCCATGTCCACGTCCACGTCCACGTCCACGTCCACGTCCACGTCCACGTCCATGTCCACATACACGTCCACGTCCACGTCCACGACCATGTCCACGTCCACGGTCCACGTCCACGTCACGTCCGTCCACGCCACAGCACGGTCCACGTCCACGCCATGTCCACATACACGTCCACGTCCACGTCCACGACCATGTCCACGTCCACGTCCACGTCCACGTCAACGTCC